ATCCTGGAGGAACTTGGCAGCATTGTGCGGGGCCCCCAGGATGAACTGTGGGGGAGTTGAAACCGCATTTCTCAGGGAGCGTCTGTGCCCAAGAGAAGGGGAGAGGGCGCTTTGCAGAGGTTTTTGGCACACTGGGAACCCGTGGATGGGGAGGGGAGCCCAGGGCAGCCAGCAGAGCCCACAGGTGCATTCATACCCCACAGACTGCAAGCCCATGGGCCCTCGCTGCATCTTCCCTTTTCCTTTTCTCTCTCTCTCGTTCATGGCACTGGCCCTTCTCGTAGGACGTCTGGGGCATTTGGGTCCTGATTGCAACGGTTCTTATGGCAGCGATGGCACGGAGCCTCACCCGCAAACAGCTTCCAGACCACCAGTCACACTTGGAATTGCACACCCCTGTACAAGCATGACGCAGCCATTGTGGTGCCACCTTGGAGGGGGGAAGAATAAGCTGGAAAATGCAAAATGAGGAGTATAAATCTTTCTAAGGTTGCCTGGGAGGCACCCGCTTAATTAGCACCGTTGGTAGCCTTGATGGAGTAGGTGCTGTATAGGAAACTTGGCTCATACTTGCACCAGGCATCTCTTTGGAAGCCAGATGACCCTTCTGCTTCACTGAACCTCCCCCTCCTGGTTCCTTTCCTCTGTTCCTCACTGTCAGGAGTTGACCTATTACTCAGGCTGGCAAAAATTACCTGCTGTCGCCTGGGCTTGTTAGATGCCACGGCTTTCTGTGGGAACCGCAGGCCTGCCCATGGCTCCTCTGAGTTTGCCATGTGCCGCAGCTCTTTTAGAGGCCACCATCCCGAGGTATTGCAACGTCCTGTATAGCCTCACAACAAAATGCCTCAGCCCCATTCAGAAACAATTCCTTCGTTTCTCTTGTCTTTCTCTTGGACACCTGTTGGGTTGCAGGGTTCATGGGCTTATTTTGGGGCGTGAGAATTGTCTTTCATTAGCTACCTGGACTGAGAGCAGCCCACATCATTGGGTGTTTGGGGCAAGGGCTGTCACTGGTTATGTGCGTCTCTAAGTGCCTTGCACACTGGGACCTAACCTGAATAAGGCTTCTAGGCGCTCCTCTACTGGGCATAAATATTGTTGGTAACAAACGCCACTTGTGGGCCTTGAACCAATACGCTCGAGACTCCGGACTGCACCCTCCAGTCATCGGCGCGTCGTAGGCTACAGGCTCTTGTTATTCTACAGGCATTTGCATGGCGCCGTTCAGCAGATCACTAACGCAGATCTGTCACCGCATGAGGCTGCGGGGTCAGAACAACAGGATGTTTTGTCAAGACAAACAGTAGAGACGCTGCTTTGGTGCAGCCCAAGTGGTGCCTCCTCCGTTAGCCTGCTCTTGGGTATAATAAGATCAGGGCAAATAATCTGTGTGTTCATGGACATCGTGGCCTGCCTTCCTCTGGCTTCCCAGCTGCAGAGCAGTCGGGGACTGTCTCCCGTCTGGATATCAGCGGGTGTGCCTGTGTGGCTGAGATAAGGAGCGAGTGTGAAAGGACAGGACAGAAGAAGGAAGTGGGATGCAATCTGCACGGAGAGAGGGGGGATGGAAGGAGTGGGATTTTCCCCAGTGGCTCTGGCTAAGTTTCCTGGTCCATGTGGCTCCAGCTGTTACAGATATTGTACTGGCAGGCACAGAAGAGAGTGGGACACTACTTCCTAGATGAGCTGGGGTGGTTGGACTCAGGACTGCAGGAGCCTCTTCTTGATTCCCTGCATGGACAGGGCGAGTCACTTCTCCACAGGAGACATGCATCTCATAAAACCTACCCACCTCCCACGGGGAGCTAAGTCTGCGTAGCGCCCCGGCCCCTCTTTGCCTCAGCTCACCTGAGATCACACAGGCCACTGACTGAATTTCCAGGTCCCTCCTCAACCCCCATCTCGGCTGCTTTACTCCCACCCGGAGCCTGTCTGCACCGTGTCACTGGAGTGTGCATTGCTGGAACCCCCCCTGTGTCCCTCGCTGCTTTATAGCCCTTTCTAATTGCATTATTGACCTCAGCCCTCAGCCTGTCCTGGGGTATTAATAGCTACTGGGGTTAATAACTTTCAGCTTTACTTCCTGCTGGTCATTAAACCCCAGAAAATGCCCTGGGCTGGGATTGTTAGGGCTTAATTATATGTTTGTTTAACAATATAACAAGGCTCCAACTGGCTGGTTTAGTGCTCTGTGCTCCCCAGGTGGCACAAGGCCAGGATCAGCCGTGGTATCAGCATGGCCACGGGGCTCACACGAGCGCTGTTATTAATCAGTACTTCTGAGTGCAGAGGGAGGCTGCTGTGTTGGCAAGGCCTGGGGTTGATACGGGTGCCTTCTGCACTTTGAAAAGGAAAAGCAGAACCCAGGGCATTAGTGCTACCCTTGGGAGAAGAGGAGGATCAGGTCTCTGAGAGCGGCTCTCGTGGGATTGTGAGAGGCTGGAGTGGGAAAAGCAGAGTCCTGCATGGCCTGGGATGATGCACAGACCCCTCTCGGGCACAGACCAGCTCATCCAACCCAGCACGCAGCAGGCCAAACTCGCCCGTGGGGGTCATTCCCCAAGAGGCGCTGCATCCTGCTACTGGTGAATTTGTTCCAATGCAAATCACCCGACTGCTCCCAGTAACCTGAGGTTTGGTGGACCTGGAGCCCAGCACCAAAGGGCTAAATGCTGTCTTAACTGCCCTGCGACTGCCTTGCAGAGGGAGACCAGCAGCCATGCTCTTGCCCCTCAAGGTAGGAAAGGCTGGAGGGGAAGATGGCAGCACATGTCTGGGTTCTGTTGCCATACTAGCAGGGGGCTGAATGCCAGGGCCCCGAGTTCAAATCCTGCTGGCACCTGAGGTGACACGGCCTGTGTATGCCCTGGAGAAGGGAGAGCCTTTGGGGAGATGTTGCAGGAAACTTCCCGGCTGAGATGAGACTGGCTCCAGTGGCGTCGGCCCGTCGCAAAGGCTCTCTGGTGGAGTCTGCGTGGGGTTAATTACTTTGACAGAGTGGCTTGTAACACGCCAGCCAGGCTGCACACTTCAAGCCACGCAAATGCGTTCTGTCAGCACTTTAATTACTCTTCCGCTGTTTGGAAAACAATGCAGCAAAATTGGAGTCGCGGCTTTTGTCCCCCCGAGAGTGCAGGGCAATCGCACGGTGTATCTGGCCCCCACCTCACCCAATGAGGCCTGTATGTGCCGGCCTGATGCAGCATCACATTGGCTTTGTCTGATGGCAGAGTGGCTGGGTAGGGACCAGCCAGCCTGGATCCCAGAGGCTCGAGGTAGCCTGAGCATGGCTACCACAGCCCCGTGCTGCTCCATACAGGCTAACTCACCCTGCTTCCCAGCCTGTGGCCCTCCATGCTATCACAGCCAGGTGCTGCCAGCACCCAGCTTAGCTCAGGGATCAGGGTGCAGTGTGAACGCACCCTGAGCAGCTCGCCCAAGCATTTGGCTTAGTCACTGCGTGCTAAACATTTCCTCCCTAGAAACCATCAATCGAGCAGCCTCCTGCCCCTCGTACTTGTCTGAGCATGAAGAGTGGTGTGGACGCTGCCTCTCCTGGCTGGAGCACTGGAGATGGTCTCGTCTGTGCCTTGGGCCTGTACGTCTAGCCTGGCCTCCTGCATATAACAGGAAAAT